GGGTGAAAAAAATCAACTGTGTAGTGTTTATACAATGGGCCAATGCTACACAAGATGGAAGGAATCCATCTCTGAGACAGAAGGTTGAGCCAAAGCTAGGACAAAGACTCTATTTACATAAAGTTCAACAACCGATAAAAATAATCTATGGTAACAGGGTCAGAAGAGAGGTCACCTCTGGAGGAGTCATGCTCCCAGACCGACCTTTCAGTCCCACGATCACAGATTTACAATGCCATACAATCTTACTGTGCCTTTTCTATGTTTAGATAGGCAAATACTGTGTTACAACTGCCACAGCACTCAACAGAGTAACAAGTCTGCTAACTAAGAGCAACAGGCCATCCACACTGCTAGGCGTGTAGGAGGTATAACACCTAGGTTTATGGAAGTACTCTGATATTCAAGTCACCTAACAAGGTGTCCAGTCGTTAAGTCCACACAGGACATTACCAAACGGCAGAGAGGAGGAGCCTCTGGAATGCTGGGGAAAGTCTTTCTTTGATACAAGCGCTGCTCCATCTGCATATGGATATACCCACATGTGAAAATCCTTCAAGCTGAACTTACAGTTGCTTCCCTACCCAGATTCTTTCACAGGCCAGGCACCCATCCCCAGCTGCAGCAAAGATCTACTAATGGGCTCCTTCCGCTGCCTCTAGAGAATGGCCCTCAGCTGAGAATCTAGCACAGCCACATTCCCACCCTCAGCCAAGCGCAGCTGCAGCCACCAGCCCCCTTGCCTCAAGTAAAGGACAACCCTGATATGCTCCCCAGTGGGACTGGCTAAAGCTAGACTGTAGCTGAGAAGACCGCTTTTCGTTCCCCTAGCCAGCTTCCCCCCCTCTCCTCCTCCCCTTCACTTTCCAAGGATCATTCCTCCTAAGCTCTTTGGAGAACACCATGTTTGTGAACCTGTATCAATTATACCTCAATAAAAAGTTGGGTTTTTTTAAAGGGGCATTGTTTTGCATAGCTAAAAAGCGTGATCTCGAGATTCTGAGAGATAACCACTTCCTTGGGGGAGATATGTCATCAGGTGAAAAAGGACACATGGCAGGCCTGCCAGGCACTCCTGCAACAGAAGCCAGGAGGCCTACATAAATATGACAGGAATTCTAAGGTGGTCACCTGCCACTAGCTTGCTGTGAATGTGCACTCAACTGCTCTGCATCTCACCTTCCATAACCGGAAAGTAGGAGATTTGGTCCTGAGGTTTCTCTAATGACCCTTCAAATGTAGAAATCCTTGATCGCATAAGGAATTTTCATTAACATGCAAGCCCCTGAATACTTACACGCCAACCCTGACCTTGTCTGCACAGTACCTAGTTCTGCAGCACAAGCTACCTTACACCAATCACCATCACATTAAACTTCAAAGCCTGGAGATTCTCAGCATCTACTCTCAACTCCCAGGTTCCCTTCCTCTACCCTCAGAAACCATACACACACACGCCCCCGCACAATTTTTTTTCTTTTTTTCTTTCTTTTGATAAGAGCCCAGTGTTAATCCGCACAATTTTAAAAGTGAGCTCCTACTTGAGCGTAAGCATCCATTCAGGTATGTCCAACCAGTGGTTATGTGTAATATACAAAATATACTAATTAGAAGAAAGACTTGGCTAAGCATATTAAAGAACAGTTCAGAAACTATTAGTGAACAGGCAGTAATTAAATTCAATTAAACTTTCAAAGATTACAAGCATGGGGATCCACACTTTATTCCAAACCTGATCCAGACCAGAAGCAATGAGAAAGAGGTGAAACGAGGACGGAACAATGCCACTCTGGATGTTCAACTACTCATCAGCAATTCCCCTGAACAACAGATGCCAGTCATCAGGGACAGAGAGCTGGACATTCTAGAACTGGGGACAACAGAGTCATCATAGTTTGTTCACCCTTATTCTAAACTATTACATATGAATAATGAAGTCTAGAGTCTCTCAGCAACGTTTCCCAAAAGCTGGTAAAGAATAATGCTCGTGTCTTGGATTCCACACGTGACAAGAACCAATGCAGTGCACAGCTCCGCACGCTTTCGTGCTGGGAACCACGGACGTTAGGGTTAGTGTGCGGGAGCGCCTCTTCGGTGTTATGAGGCGTTCTGCCTCATTTCAGAGATTACTGACATCCACCAGTACGGCTGTTTACTTTCATTAGCAGAAACTACCCCAAGTATGGAAAGTGCATTTCTATAAAGAAACCCTGCCCTTTGCTCCTTCTGATAGAAAGGGTGCCGTGCGCCTTCGCAGTACGAAAGCTGCACGAGCTTGTGCACTGCCTAACACCGAGGAGGCACTCCCTGCACACTAACCCTAACCGGCCATGGCTCCAGCACGAAACGTGCGGAGCTGTACACTGCCGTACACCGAGAGGCTCTCCCTGACACTAACCCTAACTGGCCGTGGCTCTCAGCAAGATGTGCAAAACGTGCGGAGCTGTGCACTGCCTACACCGAGGAGGCACTCCCCTGCACACTAACCCTAACTGCCGTGGCTCTCAGCAAGATGTGCAAACGTGCGGAGCTGTGCACTGCCTAACGAGGAGCACTCCCCGCACACTAACCCTAACCAGCGTGCTCTCAGCAGAAAGCGTGCGGAGCTGTGCACTGCCTACACCGAGGAGCACTCCCTGCACACACCCTAACTGGCCGTGGCTCTCAGCAAGATGTGCAAACGTGCGGGCTGTGCACTGCCTACACGAGGAGCACTCCCCTGCACTACCCTAACCGGCCGTGGCTCTCAGCAAGATTGTGCAACTGGCGGAGCTGTTGCACTGCCTACCCGAGGAGGCACCCCTGCACACTAGCCCTAACCGGCCGTGGTCTCAGCGACGGATGTGCAAACGTTGCGGAGCTGTGCACTGCCTACACCGAGGGAGCTCTCCCCTGACAACTAACCCTAACCGCCGTGCTCTCAGCACGATTGTGCAAACCGTGCGAAGCTGTCACTGCCCTACACCGAGGAGCCTTCCCCGCACACTAACCCTTAAACCGGCCGTGGCTCTCAGCACGATGTGCAAACGTGCGGAGCTGTGCCACTGCCTACACCGAGGAGGCACTCCCCTGCACACTAACCCTAACTGGCCGTGGCTCTCAGCAAGATGTGCAAACGTGCGGAGCTGTGCACTGCCTACACCGAGGAGGCACTCCCCTGCACACCAGCCCTAACCGGCCGTGGCTCTCAGCACGTTTTGAGGCTCTCCCCTGCACACTAGCCCTAACCGGCCGTGGCTCTCAGCACGTTTTGAGGCTCTCCCCTGCACACTAACCCCAACCGTCCGCGGTTCTCAGCACGGAAACGTGCAAACGCGCGGAGCCGCGCGCCGCCCACACCGGGGCGGCACTCCCCTGCAGCACGCCCGCGGGTCGGAACCGCGGCGAGAGGCTGTCACTGGGGACGCCAGTGCACCAGGCCTTTCCCACGGGACCCCCAGAGCTGTTCCCAAACAGCCGCCCGTGCCCCTGACCGACCCTGCGGGCCCCGACCCTGACCTCTGACCCCCGACCCCGACTTCGGGAGGCCCCGAGCGCACGGGCGGCGCTCACCTTCCGACTCGCGCCGCCGAGGGACACCTTGGGCCGCGTCTTGAAATCCCCTTCAAAGCTGAACATCTTTACAGCTTATCCCATCGGGGAGCGCCCGGCCGAACAGCCGAGCGGTCTCGGTCCCGCGTCTCGGCGCCCGCCCGGCCCGGGGCAGCGCGACCAGGCGGCGGCCGGAGGCGACCGAGCCCGCGCCGCGCCGCGCTCTGCCCGCCCGGCCGCCCGGGCGAAGGGCGGCGACACGGAGGGGCCTGCCTCGCCGCCCCTCATCCACGCCTCCCACCGCTGCGGCAGCGGCCAGGAGCGCCCGGCGGGCCGCGAACCCCACGCCCGCTCCGGGAGCAGCCGCCTCGGGAGGGAAGATGGCGGCCGGACGCAGCTGCCGTGCGCGGCCCCGCGAGCGCGCGCGCCCCCGCCGGCGACGGCACGACGCTCCTCCCGGCGCCGGCTGCGCGGCGACCGCACAGAGCCTGGGACGAGCCCGGGCCCCTGCCCCTGGAGGCGGAGCGGGGCGGAGGAGTGCGGAGCGGGGCCGGGGGGCATGTGCCAAGGACTGGGCAGGGCCGGGCGTGGCCGGGGCAGGGGCCGGGAGGAGCGGGGCGGTGGGGCATGTGCCAGGGAAGGCAAGGCCAGCGTGGCGGGCAGGCGCGCGCCGGGAAGCGCGCGGCGGGCCATAAGCGGTGGGACGCGCGCGCCAGGGGCGGAGGGCGGGCCAGGGCCGGGCGGGCGGGCAGGGCGGGCGGCGGGCCAGGGCCGGGCGGGGGCGGGGCCTGGCCGGGAAGGCTGGCGGAGCGGGGGTGCTTCTCCCCCAAGCGTAGGCGAGGAACGGGACCGGAAGGATGGGCCTGGTTTCACTGGGGTGTGTACACCTGCGTGTTACATGTGTCGCGTCACACAGATGTAAAAGTTTACCTTATCACACATGTATGCACATGTTTATCTCATGCACAACATACATATCCGTAAATACACGGCCCGCACACATAACCTGCATATACACAAATGCCTCATACACGCACGTCACAGGCACACACGTACATACACATGCACACTAGCTGTGCACATACATACAAGTACATACACGTGTGTTATACACAGGTGCCCCTCGACTGCTGGTGGGGCCCGTCCTGATAAACCCGCTGTAAAATGAAAGCGGTGCAAGTCCACGCGCTTTTGGCGCCCGGCGAGCCCACGTGCAAGTCCACGCGCATTTGGCGCCCGGTGAGCCCACGTGCAAGTCCACGCGCATTTGTTGCCCGGTGAGTCCATGGTAAAGTCAAATATCCCTAAGTAATAATCATAAGTTAGGGACCATCTGCACATAAATATGTGGCTCATATCCACACATACATATATAAATATATCTCATGCACACATGCATATACATATATGTGATGCACACAGTTGGAACCACTTTTAAAAATTCAGTTTTGAGGCCAGCGTGGTGGCTCACATCTGTAATCCTAGCACTCTGGGAGGTGGAGGTGGGAGGATCACTTGAGTTGGGGAGTTCCAGACCCTGTCTTTTTTTAATTTAGAAAAATAAATACATAAATAAATAATTCGGGTTTGAGTGTGTATTTTTATTTTATTTTATTTATTTATTTTTGAGACAGAGTCTCACTCTGCTGCCTGGCCTGGAGTGCCATGGCATCAGCCTAGTTCACAGCAACCTCAAACTCCTGGGCTCAAGTGATCCTCCTGCCTCAGCCTCCCGAGTAGCTGGGACTACAGGCATGCGCCACCAAGTCCGGATAATTTTTTTCTATATATTTTTAGTTGGCCAATTAATTTCTTTCTATTTATAGTAGAGACAGGGTCTCGCTCTTGCTCAGGCTGGTCTCTAATTCCTGAGCTTGAGCGATCCTCCCACCTCGGCCTCCCAGAGTGCTAGGCGTGAGCCACCGCGCCCGGCCGTGATGTTATGATACACGTATACCTGGTGAACTGATCATCCTCCCTTTGTGTGTGTGGTAAAAGCACCTAAAATCTACTCTCCTGTCAAAGTTGCAGCATCTGACACAATATTACTAACTGCAGCGCTGCTGAGCTGCTGGTCTCCAGGCTGACTCCTCCCACTCCACTGCAAGTTCGTGCCCCTGGCCTGAGGCTCCCCCTTCCCCGCCCCAGCCTCCGGAGCCCACCACTCTGCTCATGTTTCCAGGTAGGAATGTCCTTTTATTAGATATCACATGTGAGTGAGGTCACGCGGCATTTCGTTTCTCTGTCTGGCTCCTTGCCCTTAGCCTAATGTCTTCTAGGCTCCTGTCATTTCCTTTATGTACATAACCAGCAGAGGGATTGCTGAGTCACAGAGTAGTTCTATTTTTAAATTTTTGAGGAACCTCCATATTGTTTTTCCGTAATGACTGTACCCATTTGCATCCCCACCAACAGCATACAAAGCTCCCCTTTTCTCTGCACCCTCACCAACACTTGCTGTCTCTTACCTTTTAGGCAACAGCCATCCTAACAGGTGCTAGTGGTGCCTCATTGTGGTTCTCATCTGCATTTGCTTAGTGATCAGAGGTGCTGAGAACCATTTCATATACCTGTTGGCCATTTGTATGTCTTTTTGGGAAAATTCAGGCACTTTGCCCATTTTTTAATAAGGAAATCCAAAATTTTAAAACTAATATTTATCATTACTATGTGAGATGCACTGATTTCTTTTACTGTCTTCTATTTTTATTTTTATTTTTTTAAGAGACAAGACCTCCTTCTGGGCCTGGTGTGGTGGCTCATGCCTGTAATCCTAGCACTCTGGGAGGCCAAGGCAGACAGATTGCTCGAAGTCAGGAGTTCGAAACCAGCCTGAACAAGAGCCAGACCCCCATCTCTACTATAAATAGAAAGAAATTAATTGGCCAACTAATATATATAGAAAAAACTAGCCAGGCATGGTGGCGCATGCCTGTAGTCCCAGCTACTCGGGAGGCTGAGGCAGCAGGATTGCTTGAGCTCAGGAGCTTGAGGTTGCTGTGAGCTAGGCTGACGCCACGGCACTCACTCTAGCCTGGGCAACAAAGTGAGACTCTGTCTCAAAAAAAAAAAAAAAAAAAAAGACCTCCCTCTGGTGCCCAGGCTGGAGTGCAGTGGTGTGAGTACAGCCTTAAGCACCTGGCCTAAATAGTCCTCCCACCTCAGCCTCCTGAGAAGCTAGGACTACAAGCTCGAACCACCACGCTGGACTAATTTTTCTGTTTTTTTGTAGAGATAGGAGTCTTGCTGTATTGCCCGAGCTGGTCTCCAACTCCTGGCCTCAAGCAATGTTCCCACCTCAGCCTCCCAAAGTGCTGGGATTACAGGTGTGAGCCACCACGCCCGGCTTCTATTTTTTTAAAGCTGGTTGCAAACCACTAACTGCATTTCCCAACCTGGTCTGAGCTTGCAGTTTGAACAACCCTGGCTGATATATGAATAGGTGGATGGATATGGATGCACACACACTGCTGTTGTCTGAATGCTGATGTCCCCCCCCTGAAATTCACAGGCTGAAATGTAATCCCCAAAGTCATAGTATTAAGGGGAGGGGCTTTCAAAGTTCTTACGCTGTGAGAGCCCCACTCATCTGAGTGGGATCAGTGCCCTCATAAAAGAGGCCCCAGGGAGTCTGTTTGTTCCTTCTGCCACTAGGACACAGCAGGAAGACACCATCTACGAAGCAGAGAGCCCTCCCCAGACACTACATCTGCTGCTCCCTTGCTCTGGGACTCCTAGGATTACAGCCTCCAGAACTACAAGGAATAAATTTCTGGCCAGGCGGCGCAGTGGCTCACGCCTGTAATCCTAGCACTCTGGGAGGCCGAGGGGGGAGGATCGCTCAAGGTCAGGAGTTCAAGACCAGCCTGAGCAAGAGCGAGACCCCATCTCTACTAAAAATAGAAAGAAATTAATTGGCCAACTAAAAATATATAGAAAAAATTAGCTGGGCATGGTGGCGCATGCCTGTGGTCCCAGCTACTCAGGAGGCTGAGGCAGGAGGATCACTTGAGCCCAGGAGTTTGAGGTTGCTGTGAGCTAGGCTGACGCCACGGCACTCTAGCTTGGGCAACAGAGTGAGACTCTGTCACAAAAAAAAAAAAAAAAAGAAGCCAGGCCCAGTGGCTCATGCCTGTAATCCCAGCTCTCTGGGAGGCCGAGGCGGACGGATCATTTGAGCTCAGGAGTTCGAAACCAACCTGAGCAAGATCGAGACCCCGTCTCTACTATAAATAGAAAGAAATTAGCCTAACAACTGAAAATAGAAAAAATTAGCCGGGCATGGTGGTGCATGCCTGTAGTCCCAGCTACTCGGGAGGCTGAGGCAGGAGGATTACTTGAGCCCAGGAGTTTGAGGTTGCTGTGAGCTAGGCTGATGCCATGGCACTCACTCTAGCCTGGGTAACAAAGTGAGACTCTATCTCAAAAAAATAAATAAATAAAATAAATCACCAGTCTAAGGTATTTTGTTATAGTAACCCAAACAGACCAAGAGACACCCACCCACACACCTACACATACATACACACACACACACACACGAACTAGGTCGCAATATAGAATGTCTTTTCTTGTTATAAATCAGGATCCAAAATGTTTGAAATCCACTGAATAAAGGCACAGTTTTCCAGTTAATATATATGGCTACTCTAGTATGTCAAGAAATCCTCGATTCATCAAAAATATTCAAGTTTTACCAATGCTAAGATTTTATGGACTTTGTCAATTAAAAAGATTACCTTTTTTTTTTTTACCTATCAGATTATCACAGATTAAAAGTACTGGTAATCCCAAGCGCATGACTCAATGAGTGTGTCTGCTCTGAGGGCTCAGATTTTGCTCTGAAGAAATGTCTGTCTCGAACGTCCAGACCAGAGAGAGGAGCCAGCTTGCTCATTCGACTACAGCGCCAGCCCTGCGGGCCGCTGGTCTCTTGCAAAGGTGCTGGTTGCTAAGCACACGGCCAGGGACCAGGGGGATATTCACTGGGCTATTCACGTCACTGGGTCTGGTCCCATGTGCTGCCAGGTGAGGATGGCTGTGCTAATTCTGGGTTCTTGTGGGGTGGCCCCACTATGTGAGCAGCCGCCTCCGCTGGGTGCTCCACTGGAGAACTGGTGATCTGTGAGCCCCGCTACAGGAAAAACTGGCTTGTCAAAAAGGCCATTTATTTTTCCCTAACACCATTCATTCTGAAACCTT